CCGCTTCTCTCCACCCCTCCGACTCCGCTTCTCTCCACCCCTCCGACTCCGCTTCTTTCCATCCGTCTGACTCTGCTTCTCTCCTGCCATCTGTCTCTGTTTCTTTCTGTCCATCTGTCTCTGATGGTAGATAACAAAATTCCAATTTTTTTAACAGCCATATTGACACTGTCAACAAATTATTGAAAATCCAGATTTTATACCGAGTTGAAATTTATTACAACATCATTGGACCTTCTACACTCATGTGAAGTCAAAGATCATTTGCTGTTTGCCAGTGTGTTATACAAAATACGAGATCAAGAAGCTTGTGGGGCTAATTCATATATCATACTGAAGCCCTGAATGAAGCCAATATACCAAATCGATATATTAGTCATGATAATTCGCACACTTCAGAATTAAGAAGCTTACCTTCAATTCATGTTTGTCATATATAACAATATTAAGTATTGTATATATGTACTATAATAAAACTCTAAAAAGCAAAGCTAATACTTCAAAACTTTCTGAAAAACTTCAGTTGAATAATGTTCACAAAGTGAAAAGTAAAATTGTACTTAAAGAAATCCATTGCAGAACTAATTTCAGATCCAATTCCACAATCTCTAGATTTTGTAGATTAGCAAACAAATTTTGCATTTGGGTAATTTCCTCTTTTAAATAAAATATTGTGTATACATGTTTTACATAAAATATTGTATACATCTGAGACCTCAAAAGACATGATATAAACTAATTGCTAAATTAATTCTACTTAACAACTTACCAGGCTGAGTAATACGGAAATCCTGAGTAGAATTCCAGTCAGCATGAATTAGGCATTCATGTTCATGACCCCACATCACCAAATCAAGGAATGTTGGTAACATTGTGTCTTCAATAAATTTGTTTATTCCTCTATTTACTCGGTTTTGGTGAAGTACAAACATGTTGAACCAAGAATCCGGCTGCTCTCTCGGGCGAAAAAAATTTACCTAATAGAACAATTTATGAGATAAATGATTTACTCAAATCTAAGTTAATTAACAATAAATTTTTTTTTAATCCACTACAGCCTAATTTCAAGGACTGTAAGGAGCAAGACTCCATAATTCTACATGATATTGTCCGTATGTAAATGACATGGTTTTTTCTCTTTTATGTACAAAATTAGTACAAAATAAGAATGCCTAGAAGTATGTGCAAGAATTGAATATATTATCTTAACATTTTCTTTAAAGTTAAATTTACTCTAATATTTTAATTCATTTAAATTTATTACAGATGAAAAATATTAATTATATTAAGAATTTTTTTTTTCAAAATACCTCTTAAAGGTAGATTAATTATTACTATTTAAAATACTGTTTTGTAGGTTTAACACATTAAGATAGTTTGAAAAATATTTACAAACATTATGTCTTCATATGCCATATGAACAAACGCCTTTTCAACAAAAGATTTGCATCAGTGTATGACATGTTACATTGCAAGAAGACAGAAAATTGGGTACATAGATGAAAATAAAATTATCAATAATTTAGGTAAGGCACATACTCAACTCCAGTTATAGTGAACCTCTGGGAACAAACATTTTTGGTTCACTATATCCAATGATGTCAGAATTAAACAGAATTTCTCCATAACCACTGATTTTGTAAATAAAGAGATGCAGCAAAATAGATTAACAACACAAACTGAAATTTTCAATACCTTTATGTGACCTTCAATAAATTATATTCAATTGTTTGCTTCGTTTGCATTGTTGGAACACTGTCCCACTCTCCGAAGGCCTCCTAACTCGCCTAATAATATACGAGATGCTTTCAGCAGCAGGATAGAACAAGCAGGTAATGAGACTGATTGTTTTTCTGCGCAGCACAGTGGTTATTGCCAGGCTGTGGCAGACACGTGCTTCCTGTTGCCTACGTAGAACTTGTCCCGCAGAACATCAAGTAACACCAAGATTAAAACTGAAGTAAGCAATTGCATGTTGCTGGCACAAGTTGTAGTCCAGGCAGGACCCAGCCTTTGTTTCCATAATGAAACTGATGTGAGTGGCATAAGGTCATCAGCAAGGTCCCCAAGACATCTATTATGACCTTTGGCCGACAATATTTTTTTCAAGTTGTCTAGTGTTAGAATTTGTGGCACTGAGGCGACCTATTCTTTACCAGGAGGAAACTACTTTCCACGACGTATTTCCTATGATCACTAAAGCCAAGGTTTGGGTTCACTATAACTGAATCTTCTTAAGCTTTTTTGTACCGTAAGTGAAACAGAGTCCAGTGACTTAAGTTCACTATATCCAAGGGTTCACTATATCTGGAGTCGACTGTAATTATAATGTTCTTGTCACAAGTAAATTATTAAAGACTTCTTTATTTAGAGGCACCTATCTCCAGTTGAGAGAGAAATGCAATTTTGTTTACTTCGGTAGATGACCAAAGTAAAAAGATATATAATTACTAAAACTTTCTTAACATTTTGGTTCCTGTCTCAATAGCCCAAATCCAACTGACCTTGTTGGAACGAAACAGTCTGCTAAGACGATCATCTGGGATATGACTTAGGCCAAATAATGCAAGATATGTTTCTCCTTTTCTCATGAGAAGAGGAGAAACATTTACAGCTTGCAAATCATTCCATCGACCAAAGTAATTCACCAAGCCAGAGGCACTCAATATATCCAATGAAGAAATTCGTCCATGACCTGTTAAGAGTAACAAAATCTTCATATATATATTTTTTTTGCATTACCAAACTGATTATTAATTTATTACTACTTTTTTATCATTTACAGCATTGACAATTTTGGAATTCAATTTTGAGGATATTTTATCTAGTTTCCTAAATTCTTTCTGAATTTTTTTCTTTACCAAAGCAACTGTTTATCTCCTTCAATGGTACACTTTATCACAGGTCACTTGATAAGCTAGAGAACACTTAGTTCACTGCTGACTATTCATATTCATACTCTCCATCCTTTTCCTAACAACCAAGGGTTTCATTTTACTTATTTCTGTATTCAAATAATAGCTTGCTGTAAACCATTAGATATATAAAGGTGTTGTGTCTTGTGAACTGAATTACATCAGTTTTTTGTTTATTGCATGGAACTTACTAATGTATAAATCTACTGGGAAAGTAAATAAATACTTATTACTTAGTTAAAAAAATCTGTATTATCAATTATTAGCTAATATTTCCCTTATGATCTTTGGTTGAAATCATGTCCAAATCTTTTCTTTTTCACATCTAATCATAGGAGAGTTCATTTTAAAGTGCAACATACATTCTGCATTCACCGAGCAGTGAGCTACGGCTCACCCAATCCCGAACACCTGATGTGTTGTGTTCAGCGAATTTTTGCTCCCTTTGATGTGTCCTAAAGACCAACACGCAGCGGGTAGGGCGAGCACCAAATGTTCGTCATTCAGCAAATAGCAAACAACTCATCCACACTACCCGAGATTCGATGAGTGGTTGCTTGCTAGTCACTGAATACTGAATGTGTAGAGCGCCTTTATACATAAGGATTCCAACAGCAATTTAGGTAAAAATATTGAGGCAAGACTGATACAGATCTTAACTGAAAGTTAAGATTACTCATAGAAATCAGAGTGCTTACCACAAATTCTAAATCACATTATCACAGATTATCAAACCATAATTTCCTACCACTTCTCAGAAATTTTCTCAAAATTGTCCATAAACATTATAGCCAGAAAGAGTGTTTTTAAATTCTAGATAAACCTTGGACTCTTGAAACATATTATAAAAAATGTTTTTACAAAAAATATCTCAACCAAAAAACTATCTTGCCAATTCATTTAAATACAATCACTTACCACTTGGATCATCATGATTACCATGAATCGAAAATATTGGAATGGATATGTTTAAATTTGGATCTTCATAATTTACTTGCGCATTCTGGAAATTTTCTGACTGATCACTCAAGAATTGAACACATATAGGCCTGCAACAAAATAAAATTCCTGCCTTATTAATTTCAATGTTATATAACTGTAATCAGATCTGAATATCTGAGGAACTTTGGGATGCATACGCTTAACTTTTTAAAAGCCTCTCTAAGGCCCTAATGTAGACATTCCCAACAGGCCACACAGAGAATTAAGTAATTTTTTAAATTATATTCAATTTTGTCCTGTTTTTTATTAACAGAAAATTTTGGGCAATGTTAAATTACAAAAATATTTGCAATATATTTTTTGAAATGTAGTTGATTCTGTTTAATAACATTCATTTTTTATTCACTCTCTTCTTGAAGTTTCAAAACCTAGGATTTGGTTTCACGACACCAAAACCTTGGGTTTTGAAGTGTCCAGGAAAAATTGAACAAACAATAAATAAGATTCTACAGAATCAATATTATTTCAAAGAAATATTTTCACAATATACCCCTAAAAAAGTGCCTTTCATTAAAGAAAAAAATGGAAAACATCAAATGTAATTTAAATATAATTAACAGTCAAATTCACAATTAAATCAATTAATTTTTTCCACAACATAAGCATGTAATATCAACAATTTAATTATTTTTGTCCCTTATGTAAGGGAAAACAAAAAATTATTGTTATTTGTTTTTATACTTGTCTAAAATCTTAAGTCAGAATTTTGTTTTCAAGAAACAATTAGTTATTAGGAAAGTTAAATGGCAGCTTTAATTTTCATAATTAAAATTGATAATGCAAAAGACATGTTTGAGTACACAATAACAAAAAATATTAAATGCAAAAATTTCACACACCTATTACCCATACAATAATGTCTTATAAGTGCCATACATCTATGAATACATTTAGGTGATGGTTTATTGTCATGAAAAAGATCTCCTCCAAGAACTATCATATCAACTTCCTGCTTCATTCCAATATTAAGTATCTCTTCAAATGTGTTGAAGCTGTCCTCCCCTACAATAGCAAAGAAAATGTGCATAGTTAAATTTGCATTACAAGGATGTAAAAACTTTAAAAAATATAGTGACTAGTTACCTCTGATAGGATCATTTTCTGCATACCCTAAATGCACATCAGTTGCAATAAGCAACTTCATTGTATCCTCTGGCAACATATCTCCGCTAGTAGGTGCCATCGTGCGTACTTATAACAGGATGGACACACAATTAATAACGCTCTAAATGCAAATTATACGTCAAAGAACGGCCTCCCGTTTACACTGCACTTATCAGACAATGTAAAGAAAGTCAATTATTTTAAATTAAAAAAGCTAAAATACGTAAATTCTCTCAGTTCTTAATCGAAAATGACACGAGTAATGTAGATGTGTCGTTTTCTTCGAATGCCATGCAATAATTTCCCTTCTACACTTCTAGTTGCTCTAAAAATTTGCAAGCCTTGTAAGTGTCCAGCACTTAGTGTCAAAAAAGCGCATAAAACAGCACAAGCTGCTATATACGCGCCAGCGCCTGACGGAAGATCATGCGGCAGTTTACCCGCGCTGTGCATCGCATGTTTCCTCTGAGACTTCAATTTCTTCTATTCTCTTTGGTTTCTTTCGATCCTCACTCTTGCAAAGAGTACTCTGGTGGTTTCTCGCAGTTTCTGGTAAACAGATGAATAACAATGTTGCGCGAAGTTCGGCTAGTTCCGTTCTGCTGATTTTGTCTCAAGCTATATTGTAATTATTTTATATGTGGTTTTGTATGCGGGTGGCGTGGTCTAGACATGGTGTTCCATGGTTTGTGGGAGTTACACTTCATCTTTCTACAGTTGAGAAGAAATTGAAAAACAAGATTGATTACTTCTATAGTTACCATTAGTTATTCTGTAGGCTGGCGTTTTGTTAATTTAATGTGTGGTTTTTATTCTTATAAGTGACTTGAAACTTTTAAGTTTATTTGAGACTGAACTTTTGTAACTCTTTGGGTCTTTCCTTTTGAAATTAGTGCATGAATGAATGTATATTGAAGTTCGTAATAAGTGTCCGTTTTTATGTAAATAATATGGAACCAGAAATTCTTGCTCGATTGATTCCACAAGGGAAAGAAACTGTGAGACCTGCTTGCAAAAAGTGTGGGTATGCTGGCCATCTAACCTTCCAGTGCAGAAATTTTATCAAAGTAGATCCCAATAAGGAAATTGTTTTGGATGTTAGTAGCACTAGTAGTGATAGTGAAACGGAATATGTCACTCCTTTAACAGCACTGCGTGATAAAGAACTTAAAAAGAAGATGAAGAAAATTAAAAAGAAAGGAAAGAAAAAAAAGAAGAAAGAGAAGAAAAAATCACGACACAGGTCCCGAAGTCGTAGTAATAGTGACAGTGACAGCGACAGTGAATCTGACTCTGAAAGTGATAGTTCAGGTGAAAGACATAAGAAAAAAAAGAAGAGGAAGAAGAAAAAGAAGAAGAAAGAAAAAGAACATTGAAACTGTAATTTAATGAAATGATTGTGTTTGTCCTTAACATAATTTTTGTTTATCACTGTTTAGTTACTACAAAAAGTAATAATTATTTTTGACAATTTGTTAGTTTTTTTTTTCTTTAGTCTGACAATGTAATTTGAAAACTTAAATTTCAAAATAAAATATTTTTATTGACATTTGTAATCACATGTTCTTTTCCTTTTGATATCATGTGTTCTAAACCAAAAGCGTGCACAGCCTTCAACCTATATTGCTGTTTTTTCATTAAAATTGTTTATTCACATATGATATACTTTTATTAGTAATTAAATAAAACACTTAGGGGAATTAAATTGTATATCCTTTACATTGTTTCTCTTGTCATTATGACATTTGGAGAAGAGATTCCCCTTTTGTCAAAATTAATGAAAGAGAAAAACTGATTGATCATACGTAAGGAAATATGTTTTATTATTTCAGGTTATGGGGGACCCTTTCAGAAACAGAGGTGGATCCTCCCAATCATTTTGGGGAGTCCCCTCATAGATTTTTGTTAAATAGTAAATGCAGTTGTTACTAAATTGTATATTATTTTGTAGTGAGTACGTGATACTGTACACTATTTCTTAAATAATTACAAAATTCTAACATAAATATAAATCAATTTTGCCAAATAAAGGAAGGTAACAAACAAAAATTGTAGGCCTTTGGCTCTTTAGACACCTCCATTCATAAACTGGTACAAAATTTGTTTAGTTATGAAATTACACTTTCATATTTGTACAAATGTGCTGAATCTGACTTAATGAAGTGAAAGTAGATAATGTTTGCTGAATTTCATGATGCAAAACCTCTGCACAACACGCTCGCAAGTTACTGCTGATCAGATTGAGAATCGAAGGGTTCATTGAGCACCACTACTTTTCATTCTGGTTTCTTTGAAACAGATAGTGATGATAATGTAATGTGCTTGAATTCCAATAAGCTTTTCATATTTTATTTAGGTTTTAGAAGGATTTTTATTAGAATTACAATTGCATATATGTGTAGTTAAGAAAACAGTTAAGAGAAGCCAAAATGAAAAGTGTGAGAGTGGAGAGAAGGAATATACTTGGTATAATACTGTTTGTGGATTGTTTAAAAAAACAGCTAACAAAGAAAAGATCAAAACTAAATTACATATAAATATGTAAAGCAATGCAACATCCATTTACTTTGATGTATTCTTAACTCTTTCATAAATAGAAATGTTATGCATTTGTTCACATTCAATCAATTAATTCTCCTAAAAAGAGAATTTGGATAAGTTAAAACCCAATAGAAGGCGATGAAAACAAAATCAAAATAGGAAGTAGCAATTTCTTACAGTTGGAAGTTTTAACTAGTTGGTGAATGTATAAAACCTGCAAAGAAAGACAGACATTCAACTGGCATGGATGAACATGTGATTGTATTTCAAATACAAGTTTTTAAATACTGCCTAATCCTGCTCATTACAAATCGTTCAACATTTGGTGCAAAAACTAAATATTTTCAAATAATATCAACACAAATTTGACAATTATAACTGCTTTTTGTAAGGCAAATAATGTCCCAACAATAAGATGAAATTCACAAAAATAAGCTCCCAGAGTCATTGTTGCATTCCAATCTGATATTCCCTGAAAGTAAGCAGTATTTCAAATAGGTTTTCAACAATTTCTAAAAGATAAATGTGTAAATAAATAACAAAAGGTCAAATGTAAGAAACAAAGAAATATATACAAATTCAGAAAAAAAATATACAAATAATGTACAAATTCTAACTTCTGAAGAATCCAAATGTCGGGAATTACGTCCACGAAGCGCAGTAAATTTGCAGCGGGAATTTAATTTTGACTTCAAATTATCCCACAAATACCTCATATTTTCTAAAACTTGATCATGGCATTATTTGAAGATCTATTTTTGATAAACACATTTTATTAGGGAAAAGAGTTGTATTTTTAATTTCCCATTGACGGAGTAATGTACGTAGGAAAGTGTGTTATGAAATACTGTGGAAAATCGATTTCGATATTTCAACGGAAATATATGTTTTAGTGTCCCCTGATACCGAAAAAGTGTTTTTTTTTTCAAAACGTTTGTTTATTGTTCAAAATTTGGGGCTACTTTACATGAACCTCCCCCCGGACATATTCAAAATTTTCTCCAAAATGACTCCAAACTTTTTCTTTGCATTCCTGTAAGAATGGAGTAACACACACGTATAAAACTGGCAAAGACCGATTTTCACGGTTAACTCTGAATTTTCGGAAATTTCAAAATATCATTTTTTTTCGGTGTCTTCCTATAACCACAAAATGAAATATAGAGAGTTTTCCTACAAATACAATTTATTCTCCGTAGTAAATTATTTTTTTAAGGTCAGGTATATTTTTTGAAAATTTTATTTTTCGCACAATATTGCGTTCAATTTGTGCAATTTTAAAAAATTACAAAAAAAAGATTTTCTCAAAATTGGTTCAGTTTTTTCTTTAAATGTTTAGTAAGGATTGTCCTAAATGCACTCTATGAAGTGACCTAAACGTCATATTGCTCCATTCTTTTGTTTTTTCAAAACGTACAAAAATGTGTTTTTTCACTTGGCTCTCACGTCGTTAATGTTCACATTAGCGGTAATTTGTTCACATTATTATATTTATGAGTACATGTGCTTCAAATAATGCCATATAAAACTTCTCTAAAACTCAACCGTTTTCTGTGAAAATAGCTCAAAAGTCCTCATTTAAAAAAAAAGCTTAAACGCCATTTTCTCATAAACGGCTCCAATTTTTTTCTTCAATCTTTTCGAAAGGATTGTGCTAATTGCGCACTTTAATATGGCGTAAAGTTCATTTCGGGGAATTTTTCTGTTTTTTTAATTACACAAATATAGTTTTCTGAAAGATCTCTCACGCCGTTGATACGCGCATTTCCAGCAATTTGTAAACACTTTGTATTTGTGAGTTAAAGTACTTAAAATGATTTCAAAAACTCAAGCTTTTCGAAAACTCAAAACTTTTCTGTGAAAAAGAGCTTCAAATTTCGAATTTACAGTAGTGCTTAAACCAGCTTTTTAAAAACTGTTCCAAATTTTTCAAAGGAACTTTTCATTTAGGTTGAAGTTTTACTGTTCTTTAATAATCTTAAAATAATATTCCCGCTCTACAAATAAGAAACCGAAAAATTAAGAAAATGTCCAAAAAAATTTACTTCGGGCGGCGATAGATAGCAGCTGAGTAAGAGTAAGTGGCAAGTCCGAGTAGTTAGCCGAGACCAAAAGAAATAGAAAACTAATGCGAGAAGGTCTGTGCCATTTGTATCACCACTAGTTTCTTAATGAAATGTGTTTATCAAAAACACCTTCAAATAAGGTCGTGTTCAAATTTTACAAAACATGAGTATTTTTTGAGAAATTTTGTTTCAAACAGGCAATTTTTATTTTGTTCCGTAATTTGTTTTTAAAAACCGCATAACATTTTTTTTATTAAATTGGGACCTTTGATCGTATAAAGGGCGCTGTAGAGAATGGCGAAGGTTTCATGTTCGTTAATGCCTGATTTTGAAAAGAAGAAAAAGAAAAAAAAAAGTTTCGTCGTCTTCCTACAACCACAAAGGCGGAGATACATTTTTTCTTAATAAAACGTGTTCATAAAAACAGATCTTCAATTAAGGCCGAGTTGATTTTTTAAAATTTAATTGAGTATTTTTTGTGTAGTTTCGTTTTAGATTTATTCAGTCAAAAAAATGTAAAAACTATGTGACGTAGGGGGGAAAATATTATCTGCGCACATTTTCTTGGATCCCTTCCCGTCATTTGAACTATAAATAGTTGAAAGATAAGAAAAAGTTTAACATAATTACATAAAAATAAATTTTAAAAATCGCAATATTAGCAATATTTGATAAATAGTCTAAATTGAAAATTGAAAAATAGTTTTGGGACAAACATAATAACCCGCTCCCAATTGATTGCCCTTCGTTTACATAAAAGACGAAATTCCAGCAGGATTATTCGTAAGTTAGAATTTGTATATTATTTCATATTCTTTGTTCGTTTCTTCCATTCGAACTTTTGTTATACTTAATCTTTTATAATTCATTTAAAACCTATTTTAAATTATGATCTTTAATCGAGTTAAATGTGAAAACAAATCGATGATTTCGCTTTGCTTAATAATGTGGAAATGAGGAATGCGCGTAAAAACCGAGTAGTTTTGATGAAGATTACAATATTATATTTAATTTTTTGGTATCCATTTTCATATTCATGTCAAGGGTATCAACAATGCTTATTTGCAAAATTATGAATCCCAAACCAATTAGCGGTCATTGTTGCATGTTGAAATATTGTTGTAACGCCTCACTGATGACAGAAGGCGGCCGCAGTTTGTTCGCTTTAATATAAACTATTCATTTTTTAAAGCTAAAATACGCATCGCGCATCGTTGGTACATTTATGTAGAACGTGGATTCACTTAATTCCATGGCTGAAAATGTTTTCGTTTAAACGTGTAAATTTAAAAAATATACTTATTTTTCACGCTTTGTTTAAGATTTTTTCGGTATGATAAGCGTATGAAAGAAATTGTCATATTAAAATACTACATCGCTATTAGTAATAACGCGAGAAAGTAGTATAGCTATTGTAGCACCACTAGTTTTTTTCTTTACAAGGACTTGGAGATAAGAATTTTTCCGCCGAAAAATCGTTGTTTTCCTGCTGCATTACAAAACTTCTTTTCTGTGCAAACAGTATGCAAGAAAGTAAATATAGATACACAAGATTTTCTCAAGAACGAATCTATATTTTACTTTTTCGTATACATAAGTATATATCGTGTAATATACCTAGATTAAGAGAAATACTGTAATAACTTGGCCTGACAAGAAACTCTGTATGTAATTGATTAATTAAATTCCCACACACAAAAGAATGGTACAAGCACGTGAGACCAACGGATACTTTGGGTAAATATGTAAAGATACAGTGCAAAGACGCA